TCCCACCCACTCCCCTTCGGCGGTGCAACCCTCTCAGGCATAAATCACAGTGACAAACTCGTCGCATGCAAAGGCGCGGAAAGCGAAGCGTGCCTTGTCACGGTGGTGTGGGTGGAGCGGGTGATGTGGGTGGTGCGGATGGTGTCGCGGAAACGGAGGTGGGTCACTTGGGTGGCCACAGTGTCCTTCAGGCTATTGGGAAATATTTAAGAATTATTTTTACATTTTTTAAACGGTATAAATAAGAGTTTTAATATGTCTTATGTTAAATTCATGTAAAGGGTTTATTTTTAAGTTATTAAATTCATATGCTACACTAAACAAATAATAGCTAGAAAATTGACAAGCCACTAAATTAAAAAATTTAAATTTTAACCCACCGAAAGTACCGAAAGTATAAGGGACGTATACTTTCGGTAAATTTAATATTTTAAACATGTCTGATACAGCATTTAATAGGAAGTTTGCCATTGAAGTGAGACATTGAGACATTTTTAAGGCATTTTCTAAAATGTAATATTTGCTATTTGAAAATTAAGGTTTAACTATATTTAAGACATATTTATAAGCCAAAAGAAACAAAAAATATATGTATTATATGATGATTAGACTAGCAAAATGAAGAATGACAAAGAAACGGTGACTTTGCGCTTCAGTCTGATATAAACTAATTGAAGTAATAATAATGATAGTTGAAAGTAATTAAGTTTTAACATTTTTTCAACTAAGTCTCCCAGCATTTGAAGCACAGTAGCCGGGGAAACCGCGTAGTGAAATGTTTTCCATGCAAAGTGGCTTGACTTTGTCACCATTTCTTTGTCGCTGGCTGAAAGAACCAATCCGAGACCGAATTCAAATGCAATTTAGCCCATAAACAAATTAGGATTTATGGAGATGGGTGGCTGGGCAATCAAAGGCTTAGACACGGTCACTAATAACTTCTTGCGACGTGCCCGGCACTCGAAAGTTGTAATCCCAATCCCAGAGGGCGGACTTGTCGCCGAGTCCCGAGAATACAGAATACAGAATCCCGTATCCCGAATTCCGAATCCCGGACTTCTTCTATTGACAGACAATCAACATCAACCACTTGAGCGACGGCAAACAGAAGGGAAAAATCAAAGCCGAACCGCAAGATATCACAGATTTTCATTATGAAGCATTTAAGCCAGTCCAAAATCCACCCACTGGTCGTCCCGGGGGTTGACTTTTCCACTTCTTTTTCCTTTTCCATTTTCATTTCCCTTTCCCTTGGACGGCTTCGGCTTCGGTTTCCGTTTCGGTTTTTGGTTTTTGGCCCTGGCAAATTAAATTAGATGCTTAATATGCAGCGAACGTTTCATTTGTTTTGCGGCTAGAAAATCAACGTGGAAAATTAGGCAAACAAAAGCTCTTGCCCGACGAAATCCGGACGGAATCCAGATGGCCGAAGGCGGCGGAAAACCACGGAGCCGGGAGCTTAACCTCTAATGAGGCGCATTACTTTCGGCCAGAGATTTGAAATCATTATCCCATCGAATCTAATCCGGCTTTTGGGCTCCGTCATTTCGGCATTTGTTAATTTTCTGCAAACATCGGAGGACCAATCCCCTCCTTTCTGGATTTCCTGACCCCCACTGCATCCCCCGGATGGGCAAATATTGGACCAGTGGTCTGAAGGACGTGCTCCGAAGTTTTTGGGATAATAGTAGAGATTCACAAGAAAAGAGCTGAGGAAACAATTGAGTTCGTTTTTAAAATTTCCAAGCTAATGTTTCACTATTTTCTTAAAAATATACATCTTATTTTGTTCATCAGGATTTAGAGATCGGTATTTAAATTTGATTACAATTGGCAGAAAACTAGTTAAATGGCACATGGTCAAAACTACGGGAATACAGACTTGTATAAGTCACAAAAATAATATAATATGCAATTTCTTACCCATTCGAGCTGATTTAGGGTCCTTCATTGGGTGACTTAGAAGATCTTCCCTGATCCTTGTCAAAAACTCGGTTCTGTAATGAATAAAATTAGTTAATGATGAGCAACTCCTACAAATAAAGGCACTGAAATTCACAGACAAATTATTTTGAATTCCAGGAATTATATCTGTTTTTGGAGATTTGAGGGGCACCACGTTGATCTCTGGGAACTTCACGAAAAGCACTTCACGTCTTTCAATATTGTTGTCTTTAATATCGGAAATATAGAAAATCCGTAATACTTTTGTAAACAAACGTAAATCGAAATCAAGGGATTTCCAGGAATTCTGGGTCCATCGATATGGACTACATCCGATATAAAAATATTTTTGATGGCTGCTTTTAAAAGCTGTGACTTTTAAATGCAGTGACACCGATAAGTTTTATAATATATATAATTTATTTATAATGTTTACATTTAGTTTTTGTGTTTGTTTTATAAATTAAGTTCTAGTTCTCGTTTTTTTTTTAATATTGGCTAAGCTTTTGAACTCTAGAGGATACAATTTAAAAAATATATTTAGTTAGCTTAATGATCATTTTATTTAAAAATCCGTAGGAACTGATTTTTATATCTGAGACTGCCTATTTGTATTTTTTTGGTGTCTATTTTTTATTTCTTTCGCCAAATTTAATTTAATTTTTACTTTTTTTTTGGGAATGTCGATTTAAAATTCTAATTTGCTTCTGGGGTAATCGATGTTTGTTTAGCCATTCAAAAATACTAAATCAGTGCTTCCCATTAAGTATGGAATGCCTCCAGCCATCTTTAATTCCCGGAATCTCCTCCCTAGTGCTTTCTTTCTCGTCCCGCAGTCCCGGCAAACGGTCGTGTCTCTCCGGAAAAATAAAATTCCGACTAGCAAAAGAAATATTCAAGAAAAAAATTAGTAATATGGTGAGTTACTAATAAAATAACTTAAAAGCAATGCAAATTCAGATTAGTGGGACATTCTTAAACACAGTGAGGTTAGCTACATAAACAGATGCGCCTGCGCAATGTGAATTTTTTTTTACATAAATTCTTTGAATTATATAATGCAATGAAATAAAGTTCAAATTTGGATTAATGGTACATTCTTGAAAAAAGTGGGGTTATCTACATACACAGGTGCGCCTGCGCAATTAGAATTGTGTGAATAATACAATACATTAAAATATATTCAATACATAATCGGATTAGTGGAAAAAAGAAGTTAGTTACATATGTACAATGGTGAAACATTCTGGAAACAAAAGTGAGGTTATCTATGTACTTACAATTGCGACTGCGCAATTGGAAAAAGTGAGGTTAGCACATAAATAGGTGCACTTGCGCAATGTGAATTTTTGAATAATAGCTTTGAATAATACAATACAATAAAATAAAGTTAATACAAATTAGGATTAGAGGAACATTCTGGAATAAAAAGTGAAAAAAATGTGCTTACCAACGGAAACAAAGTGAGGTTATCTACATACATACTTCGGTGCGCCAGCGCAATTGGAACTTTTTTTTTATATACATTTTATGAATGTTATTGTGTTCAATAAAAAACATTTAATACAAATTTTACTGGAACATTCTGAAAAAAATGTGGTTACCAATGTATGTATGTACATATGTACATCGGTGAAACAGTCTGAAAAAAAGTGAGGTTAGCTATGTACATAAATAGGTGCACCTGCGCAATGTGAATTTTTTTTTAACCTTAAAACTTTGATACAATACAATAAAATGAAGTTCATACAAATTAGGATTAGTGGAACATTCTGGAATTAAAAGTGAGGTTAGCTGCATACTTAGGTGCGCCTGCGCAATGCGAACTTTTTTGTTTTATCTCAATTCTATGAATTACGCAAACGCACTTAGTTAAAATGCAGAGTTTTGGCAAACAATTCATCATCAGTCAGAGTTTTGATTGATTTGCCGAAATATTCTGGCTGGGCGAGCACATGTTTTCCCCATATGTGTAGTAATGTCCGAGATGGAGTCTCAGTTTGGGTCCGCCGACTCCTGTCTCCTGTGTTCTGTCTCCAATCTCCAGTTTGCAGACCACAAATTGAAATTGACCCTAGAATTGCGACGGCGACTGAAAATCGAAATCAGATTCCGAATCAGAATGGCTTGGGATGGGACATTTGTATGCAAATTCAGTGATTGCTCTGCGCAGAAACCACAGGCAAGACGGTAGGAGCGACCACACAATAAATGGGCATAAATTACACGACCCGAAGGAGGAGCCACCAGACAACAGTCGGTGGGTATTCCTCTTCGGGGGCAGGAGGGGCATCGTCTCAAAATTGATCATTTCTGGCTGGGATGTGGATGCGGATGGCGGCTGGCGGATGATGGAGAGCTGGCTAGCTGGATAGCTGGCGCCATTGGAGTGCGGCGTTGCCACTTGAATTTTTGATTTAACAAATGCTCATTTGTAAAACGGCCCGGCGAGAGCTCCTCCATCCTCCTCCTCCTCCATCTGCTCTGCAAAATTCAAATGGGCCAAAGCCAAAACCAAAGCCAAAGCCAGGGCCAAAACAAATCCAAAGAGGAGTCTCAGATCGGAGAGCCAAACTTTTGCCCAACTGCCTGGCAACAATAATAATGTCACGTTTATCGTGTGCAGCTAATTACTAACAAAAAGATAGTTTGTAATCCTACACAGCCGGGGGAATGGCGACCAGAGACCAGAGAACGGAGAACTTGGCCAGAAGAGTTAGCCAAGCGTGGCCGAAAGTGCCTCCAGGACAAAGGGTGGGGAGGGGGGGGACGGAACAACAGACACCGAAAAGCGACCACCGGTAGCCTGTATTTTGTATTCTGTATTTTTGGGGAAGCAAACTTTGCTAGCAAAGCAAAAGCCAAGCCAAGCTAAGCCAGCCCAGTCGAAAGTTGGCCAAAACATGTGCTGCAATCTTGGGCACTAAGTTTTCGGGCATTAGCACACGCCCAACTGAATGTCTTAGCCAAAAAGCAAGCGAAAAACCAACAAACCCCGAGCGCCGAACAGCTGCTCCAACTTTTTGGCAGCTCTGGGGGATCAACATCTTATAAAGTTTTTGTAAACAGTAAATGTATTTGTATAAATATATAGTACAATATGATTTATAATATGCGAAGGTGTGGCTATACATTCACACACCATAATTTACAAAGTCAATCGTCTGGGTTAGTAAAAAAAAAAAGTGACTCAGAATTATCTGAAAAACTGCTCAAAAACATTTCATATTTTTTGCTTATCTAAATTTTCGTTAATCGATTTTTTATTGGTATTCCAACTAGTTGCAAAGCCAGCTTTGAGCAAAAATGTCAACATTATTTTTGTGCCGTTTTTTAACAATGTGCAAAACATTCCACAATTATTCCAATATCACGGAAGATTCTTAGATATACACGGATATATAGCCGTATTTATAGCTTATTCTATATGTTTAATTGACACGACGTCTGAAAGACGAACAAAACCGAAAGTCGAAAGAGAACAAGATATAAATAGTGATTTCTTGGGTTTGTACACATATCAATTCGATGTTTTATCAAAACGTTACGATTTTTTGCTGAAAACAAACCCAGAAAATCCTTTTAACAAATCTAGTGATTGAGCAATTTGCTCTCTCTTAACAACATCTCACCAAATTTAACGCATTTTTTAATTAACCAGTACAAATACATACTTTTACTGATGAATATGGAACACGAAAACAAGTCCATTTTGTTTATAAATTATAAAAAATTTTGTTTATGTCAAATGCTTCTTAAAAAGTTTTCTTATTGGCTGATAAACTGGTTTTCATGCCTCATATGCATTAGGGAAAATATATTTGATAGTGATTGCCTTTGGTTTTAAACAACCATTTGCCCATCTCATATTCGCTCGATTCCCTATCGTACTAAATCGAATAATATCGCTTTGCTTTTGAGACTCTCGAGTTGAACTAGAAATGAACGAAGTGCTTCTTTGCTTGGCACAGCCAGGTGGCGTATGATGTTGGTCAAGGATCCAGCTCCTCCTCTGCGATCCCTACTGCCCGTCCGTTGGCGTTCCGGTGCCGGTTACCGTAGTCAAGCCGCCGAATGACAGGAGATCCGCCTGGTCCGGCTTGTCGCGAGTGGCGTGATAGGCCTCGCGTTCCCGATCCGGGAACTTGGTGGGCAGATTAGGCGAATGCAGGTTGACCTTGGCCTCGAACCGCACGCCAGCCACCTCCACCTCGTAGTGGCCGGACAGCACGTACTCATTGGTCACCGCCAGCTCCCGCCCCTCCTCGTCGAAGTTGCGCACGAAGCCGAGGCAGACCTGCTTCTCGAACGTGTACCCATAGCCGGTGGTGGTGGTCATGCCCACGTAGACCCCGTCGCGATAGATGGGCTCGCCGCCCCAGCACCACATGTCCACCTCGTGATCGTGGTCGTTCAGCAGCAGCTGCACATACATCCGCTTGACGCCCTCCTCGCGCTGTTTCAGCAGGGCATTGCGTCCAATGAAGTCGATGGGTTTCTGCAATATAATTCGATTAGAAAATACTACTTCTTTCTATCTAGCTTGGTTACCCACATTGAATTTGACGCGCCAACTGCGCCCGCACTCCAGCGGCGTGGTAAAGGTGTCCAGATCCTGGCCCCAGAATGCATAGAACTTCTCAATGCGCAGGGCTCGGGTGGCGTAGTATCCTTAAATGGGCCAAGTTTGCCTTTCAATCGGAAAAGAAGAGCTGTGGTTTCTTCAACTCACCCGCATGCTGTATGTTAAACTTCTGGCCCGCCTGGTAAAGTCGCGAGTACACATGCAGGGCATATTCGTTGGGGATATAGAGGACATAGCCTAGTTCTCCCGTATGGGTGATGTTCAGCACTCGGATGCCGTCGGCCAAGCCCACGTCCAGTTCCTGAAAAATCATTATCATTAGTGTGATACCGCAATAGATTCAAACTTATGCTCTTAACAACTTGTTCTTATAATGTCTTCGGAATTAATCATAACCTTTTGAACAAATCTCATTAAAAAAGCAACGGTTTTACTTGAATAATGTTTTTTCCTTACAGCTACGTTTCAGAAGGCTTCCTTTGAAAACAAACCCTTACCTTATAAGTGAAAAAGGGGAAGCTCTTTGGCGTGAGATCGGTGTCGGTGAGCTCGGAGAGCAGGATGCGGGAATAGGGTCCCAGGATGCAGATGGCCGTGTACATGGAGGTGACATCCGCCACGTTCACCTTGGCCCTCAAATGATTCGGCATATGTTTCCGTATCCAGCACATGGAGCGTGTTTGCTGAATGGTGGGTGCAATCATCATGTAGCTGAAAGTATTCATTTGTTAATTATTTGGTTTTTTAAAATAGGGTGGCGCAACTACTCACTGACGCTCGGAGAGGCGAGCCAAGGAGCAGTCGTTCTCGTAGCCCCCATTGGGATTCTGCATGCCCGTGTGGATGATGGAGCCCACGGCCACGTCCACGTCATTGGAGCAGAGGTACTGCAGCAGGTCCACCACCTCGTTGCCCTTCGACCAAAAGTCGTACTTGGTGAAGGAGCTGTAGTCCGCGATGCCGATGCGCTCCCTGCACGCCCGATATTCGGAGGCCACGTGGTCGAACCACGGCGGCTTCCCGAAAGTCCTGGTCTGTGCGATCCGGAAGCGAGGCAGTCCGAACTCATCTGGAATAAAGGAGAAGAGCGGAGGAGGATTGTTAGCTTACTCAAAAAGGGTAGGTTAATTTGTACATTCTTGGAATTATATCATACATTGCAGAGATTTTAGAAGTCGAGAATGGTTACTGTATTTTTAAATATAACAGTGACCAGACCCGAACTCTCCAATCTTTGTCAAAAAATCATCTATTCCCTGTCTATATATGGATCTGGTTTGAAACGACATCTCACTAATTGCAGTCTTATTAAATGTAGGTTTTTATAATTCACTTTTATGTTTTTAATTTTTACATTTTAATCTGCCTTAATTTTGTGAGTTACAGTTTTAGAGTCAAAATCTATAGCGGGATCTCGCTTAAAACTGTATTTTATATGTGTGTTCCCATTATTTAATAATTGAAATTGTATTAACTGTAGGTTTCAATAATTCAGTTCAATACTTTCAATTATTACATTTTGTGTACAAAAGTTTATCCGCGAAGTCTATGTGACATATGAAACATAGTGCTCACATGGTTTAACAGTTGAAATCGTATTATGTGTAGGTCTTAATAGTTCAGTTTTATGGTTCCAATTGTTCATTAATGTTAGCATATATCTACTTAAAGCTCGTGTACAAAAGCTTACGAGTCAACATATTCACGAAGTTTATATAGATCATGTTTAAAACGACGTTTTAGATTGAAATCGCATAACTGTATGTTTCTATAATTCAGTTTGGCGGCTTCAATTATTAAATGAGTGTTAACATAATAATATCTACTTTAGTGTTGTGCAAAAAAGTTAGACCACGGATAGATTCAAATTTGGTAATAATTGTTGACATTTTAAATCTATGTTGAAATATTATAAGTACCAATAATAAGGCGAAGCGACATTCATTAACTGTAATTTTAAATATTCAGTTAACGTCTCCGCTTCGCTTAATAATTTGTAGCATGATTTCTACTCAAAACTGGTCCATAAATTTAGGGTTATAACATTAATCTCCTTAAATGTTGTGAGTTACAGTTTTAGAGTCAATATATTTTTATAGGGATATCGCTTAAAACGATATTTCATGTGTGTTCCCATTATTTAATAGTTGAAATTGTGTAACTGTATGTTTTAATAATTCAGTTTTATGGTTCCAACTACTAAACTAATGTTTACAAATTATCTCTTTGTATTTGGTGTACAAAAGTTATGTATGTATATATGATTCTGATTTATGAAACAGTGAGTTTAAGATTCAAAATATTGCAGTCTTATTAAATGTAGGTTTTTATAATTCACTTTTATGTTTTTAATTTTTACATTTTAATCTGCCTTAATTTTGTGAGTTACAGTTTTAGAGTCAAAATCTATAGCGGGATCTCGCTTAAAACTGTATTTTATATGTGTGTTCCCATTATTTAATAATTGAAATTGTATTAACTGTAGGTTTCAATAATTCAGTTCAATACTTTCAATTATTACATTTTGTGTACAAAAGTTTATCCGCGAAGTCTATTTGACATATGAAACATAGTGCTCACATGGTTTAACAGTTGAAATCGTATTATGTGTAGGTCTTAATAGTTCAGTTTTATGGTTCCAATTGTTCATTAATGTTAGCATATATCTACTTAAAGCTCGTGTACAAAAGCTTACGAGTCAACATATTCACGAAGTTTATATGGATCATGTTTAAAACGACGTTTTAGATTGAAATCGCATAACTGTATGTTTCTATAATTCAGTTTGGCGGCTTCAATTATTAAATGAGTGTTAACATAATAATATCTACTTTAGTGTTGTGCAAAAAAGTTAGACCACGGATAGATTCAAATTTGGTAATAATTGTTGACATTTTAAATCTATGTTGAAATATTATATGTACCAATAATAAGGCGAAGCGACATTCATTAACTGTAATTTTAAATATTCAGTTAACGTCTCCGCTTCGCTTAATAATTTGTAGCATGATTTCTACTCAAAACTGGTCCATAAATTTAGGGTTATAACATTAATCTCCTTAAATGTTGTGAGTTACCGTTTTAGAGTCAATATATTTTTATAGGGATATCGCTTAAAACGATATTTCATGTGTGTTCCCATTATTTAATAGTTGAAATTGTGTAACTGTATGTTTTAATAATTCAGTTTTATGGTTCCAACTACTAAACTAATGTTTACAAATTATCTCTTTGTATTTGGTGTACAAAAGTTATGTATGTATATATGATTCTGATTTATGAAACAGTGAGTTTAAGATTCAAAATATTGCAGTCTTATTAAATGTAGGTTTTTATAATTCACTTTTATGTTTTTAATTTTTACATTTTAATCTGCCTTAATTTTGTGAGTTACAGTTTTAGAGTCAAAATCTATAGCGGGATCTCGCTTAAAACTGTATTTTATATGTGTGTTCCCATTATTTAATAATTGAAATTGTATTAACTGTAGGTTTCAATAATTCAGTTCAATACTTTCAATTATTACATTTTGTGTACAAAAGTTTATCCGCGAAGTCTATATGACATATGAAACATAGTGCTCACATGGTTTAACAGTTGAAATAGTATTATCTGTAGGTCTTAATAGTTCAGTTTTATGGTTCCAATTGTTCATTAATGTTAGCATATATCTACTTAAAGCTCGTGTACAAAAGCTTACGAGTCAACATATTCACGAAGTTTATATGGATCATGTTTAAAACGACGTTTAGATTGAAATCGCATAACTGTATGTTTCTATAATTCAGTTTGGCGGCTTCAATTATTAAATGAGTGTTAACATAATAATATCTACTTTAGTGTTGTGCAAAAAAGTTAGACCACGGATAGATTCAAATTTGGTAATAATTGTTGACATTTTAAATCTATGTTGAAATATTATAAGTACCAATAATAAGGCGAAGCGACATTCATTAACTGTAATTTTAAATATTCAGTTAACGTCTCTGCTTCGCTTAACAATTTGTAGCATGATTTCTACTCAAAACTGGTCCATAAATTTAGGGTTATAACATTAATCTCATTAAATGTTGTGAGTTACAGTTTTAGAGTCAATATATTTTTATAGGGATATCGCTTAAAACGATATTTCATGTGTGTTCCCATTACTTAATAGTTGAAATTGTGTAACTGTTTTAATAATTCAGTTTTATGGTTCCAACTACTAAACTAATGTTTACAAATTATCTCTTTGTATTTGGTGTACAAAAGTTATGTATGTATATATGATTCTGATTTATGAAACAGTGAGTTTAAGATTCAAAATATTCAATCTGGTTTAAAACTACATTTTACATTGCAATCGCCAAAACTGTATATTTTAATAATTCAGTTTGGCGGTTTCATTGTAAATTGAGTGTTAACATAACATATTATCTGCTTAAAAGTTGTGTAGTTGTATAGTAACATATCATAAGTTGCTCCTAAAATATTAGTTTTAGATATCTATTACCTAATCAATATTAAAATAGTTCGAATTAATAAATAGCACACTGCTTAGATTCAAATTTGATAATATTTCCTGACTATATGTGTTTGTACTAACATTCACTGTAATCCTAACTATTTAGTAAACGGATTCTCTAAGCTTAATAATTGGTAGCATGTTTCCACCCAACATTGGTCTGAAAAGTAAAGGTCATAGTGTTAATCGTACCCACCCTGTTTGTCCTGCTGATCGAAGTAGTTGGGCCGCTCGTAGCCCATCGACTGGCCGAAGACGGCGCCCGCCTCCTTGAGCTGCGGATAGATGGGCGACATGCGCAGGTTCCTGCCCGTCTGGAACTCCTCGAAGGGGTAGTTGATCTCGAAGTGCTTGCCCGGCGCCTCTTTGCAGCGGTCCCGCAGGAACTTTCGGTTGTTGTGCAGCCCCAGGAAGCGGCTGATGTCCAGGATGTGCAGGTCCAGATATGTCGAGCCCTTGGTAATCAGATCGGTGAGGACGCGACCAATGCCTCCGGATGCGGACACACCCATGGTCTTGTTGCCAGCAGCCACGTAGTAGTTCTGGATTTCGGGTGCTTCTCCGAGGATCCATTTGCAATCGGGCGAGAAGACCTGCAGCGAGTTGGTGAGCCTGTCCAGCGTGGCCCCCCTGAAGGAGGGAACTCTCAGGAGCAGGGCGTCCAACAGCTCGTGGAAGTGGTCCCAGTCTGGCGGATGCTGGCGGGCTGTCTGGGAGAGCGGTATCACCCCATCCTCGTAGACCATCTTGGCCTCGCGCTCAAAGCCGCCTGCCAGGATGTGTCCCTCGCACTCCCGAAAGAAGATCCTTCCGTCGAAGTCCCTCACGAAGGGCGTGTCCGGACTGAGTCCCTCAATGGGTTTCGTGTGCAGATAGTGGTGCTCCACCGCCTTCAGGGGCACCTTGACCACCGGCTTGGACAGCGTGCCCACCTCGCGGGCCCAGAAGCCGGTGCAGTTGACAAAGTACTCGCATTCCACATCGCCGGCGGTGGTCTCCACACTCCGCACCTTCCCGTGCTCGCTGTGGATCTTCTTGATGGCACAGTGCTCGACAATGCGCACTCCCAGCCGCTGGGCCTCGGTCATGTAGGCCTGGCAGACGAGCTGGGGATCGCAGACGCCGTCCTCGGGGATCCACAGGCCACCCTGGATGCCGTCCAGCGAGAGCAGCTCGCAGTGCTGGCCACATTGCTCGGGCGAGAGGATTTCGCAGCGCATGCCCCAGGCCAGGGCCTGCGACTTCATCCTGTTGAAGGCGGTCATGCGGTCCCAGCTGCGGGCCAAGTTCAGACTGCCAACTGGCCGCCAGCCGGTGGGCAGACCGCTCTCCGCCAGCCGCTTGATCAGGTCGATGGAGTACTCCGCCAGCTTGAGTTCCGTGTAGCTGGGCTCGAAACGCCCGGCCAATCCGCAGGCGGTCCAGGGCAGCTCCCCGCCCACGCGATCCTGCTCCACGAGCAGGGTGTCGCCACCCCAGCCACTCAGGCCCAGGTGATAGGCCACCGAGGCGCCGGTGATGCCGCCGCCACAGATCACCACCCGGGATTTGGTGGGCAGTTGGCCGGCCAGCTCCTCGCTGAGATCCGCCGCCTGTTGCGGCTGGAACTTTCTCTTGCGCAGCACCTGCTCATCCGCGGGATCCGCCTGGCCGCTGGCCAGACGCACTGCATCCGGAAGGCCAGCTGGGAATCGCCTCGCACCGCCACACACTGCGTTTCCCGAGCGTCGCAGCAGTTTCCACATCTTGTCCTCCTGGGAAGTCCACCAAGAGCACCCGCATAAACCAAGATCACGCAATCCTTGTGTATCGCAGCCTCATGGAGTGAGCCTCATCCTCTGCAGGCAACCAGAATCGTGTAGCTATATATTATATAGCAATTAGTGAAATAGTTCTTCAGCACAATAACAAAAACAAGAGCAAGGCGAATTAGGGATGCGAGACCGTTCGGTTAGAGGTGGAAGGCAGCGATGTTATCGGTGTTTGTAAAATACATCGGTAACATCGATGTTTTCCATCTCTACTGAAATCACTGCTTGCTACAAAAAGCTTCGAGAGGCGCACTGCTTATAGGATTTCGCAAAATGGCGGTTCTTTTAAAAGCAATTCTTTCAAAATTGCATTGTTGCTGTGAATTATATTAAAAAATGGCTGTCCTTTATTGGGATATCAGCACATTACATCAAACAAAAGATGCAAAAATTCATTATGGTTTTTAAGTCGGCCTTCAAAATGTTTTGGTACTGAAAAACTTTAGAAGGTGGACTTAAGACCACGATTGAATAACTCATGCTTCCAATTAATAATTTTAATAAATTAAGTGTTTAAAATTTCCGTGAAATATGAAAAAAACATTTTTGTTTTAAGGTGGATTCTCAGAAGATTGTTTTTAAACATCAATCTTTTGACAATTCACCCTTAAACAAAATTGTATTACTTCTGTAAAAATGGATATATAAAATTAATTAATTAATCCTTTATTGGGATATCAGCACATTACATCAAACAAAAGATGCAAAAATTCATTATGGTTTTTAAGTCGGCCTTCAAAATGTTTTGGTACTGAAAAACTTTAGAAGGTGGACTTAAGACCACGATTGAATAACTCATGCTTCCAATTAATAATTTTAATAAATTAAGTGTTTAAAATTTCCGTGAAATATGAAAAAAACATTTTTGTTTCAAGGTGGATTCTCAGAAGATTGTTTTTAAACATCAATCTTTTGACAATTCACCCTTAAACAAAATTGTATTACTTCTGTAAAAATGGATATATAAAATTAATTAATTTTAATTAATTAATCCTTTATTGGGATATCAGCACATTACTTCAAACAAAAGATGCAAAATTTCATTATGGTTTTTAAGTCGGCCTTCAAAATGTTTTGGTACTGAAAAACTTTAGAAGGTGGACTTAAGACCACGATTGAATAACTCATGCTTCCAATTAATAATTTTAATAAATTAAGTGTTTAAAATTTCCGTGAAATATGAAAAAAACATTTTTGTTTCAAGGTGGATTCTCAGAAGATTGTTTTTAAACATCAATCTTTTGACAATTCACCCTTAAACAAAATTGTATTACTTCTGTAAAAATGGATATATAAAATTAATTAATTTTAATTAATTAATCCTTTATTGGGATATCAGCACATTACTTCAAACAAAAGATGCAAAAATTCATTATGGTTTTTAAGTCGGCCTTCAAAATGTTTTGGTACTGAAAAACTTTAGAAGGTGGACTTAAGACCACGATTGAATAACTCATGCTTCCAATTAATAATTTTAATAAATTAAGTGTTTAAAATTTCCGTGAAATATGAAAAAAAACATTTTTGTTTTAAGGTGGATTCTCAGAAGATTGTTTTTAAACATCAATCTTTTGACAATTCACCCTTAAACAAAATTGTATTACTTCTGTAAAAATTGAATAACTCATGCTTCCAATTAATAATTTTAATAAATTAAGTGTGTTTAAAATTTCCGTGAAATATGAAAAAAGCATTTATGTTTTAAGGTGGATTCTCAGAAGATTGTTTTTAAACATCAATCTTTTGACAATTCACCCTTAAACAAAATTGTATTAGTTCTGTAAAAATGGATATATAAAATTAATTAATTAAATTTAAATTATTTAAAAAGATTACATTTTTTAGTGAATGTATTCTCATTAGACTGGTTCAACTACAACAATTAACAACATTTGAAGATTTATTATAAAATGTATAATATCAGCAAAATATGAAAAATCATTCATGTTTTTGGGTGAATATCATTAGATTGTTTTTACACATCATTCTTTTGATCATTCTTCCAAGAACAAGATTGTATTACTTCTGCAAAAATGGATATATGAAATTAAATCCATCCAATAAAAATACAAGTGGCGCTCTTCATTATACGACTTTTTATCAATAAAATATGAAAAAATCATGCATGTTTTTTGGGGTGATATGCATTAGATTGCTTTTATATATCAATCTTTTGCTTATTCTCCTAAAAACAAGATTGTATTACTTCTGCAATAATGCATATATGAAATTAAATTATTAAGAAAGATTATACTGTTTGTATTCTATACAATAAAATCCAAATCCATCCAATAAAAATACAAATGGCGCTCTTCATTACACGACCTTTTATCAATAAAATATGAAATAATCATGCATGTTTTTTGGGTTGATATGCATTAGATTGTTTTTATATATCAATCTTTTGCTTATTCTCCTAAGAACAAGATTGTATTACTTCTGCAAAAATGGATATATGAAATTAAATTATTAAAAAAGATTATACAGTTTGTATTCAATCCAATAAAATCCAAATCCATCCAATAAAAATACAAGTGGCGCTCTTCATTACACGACTTTTTATCAATAAAATTTGAAAAAATCATTCATGTTTTTTGGGCTGATATGCATTAGATTGTTTTTATATATCAATCTTTTGCTTATTCTCCTAAGAACAAGATTGTATTACTTCTACAAAAATGGATATATGAAATTAAATTATTAAAAAAGATTATACAGTTTGTATTCAATCCAATAAAATCCAAATCCATCCAATAAAAATACAAATGGCGCTCTTCATTACACGACTTTTTATCAATAAAATTTGAAAAAATCATTCATGTTTTTTGGGCTGATATGCATTAGATTGTTTTTATATATCAATCTTTTGCTTATTCTCCTAAGAACAAGATTGTATTACTTCTGCAAAAATGGATATATGAAATTAAATTATTAAAAAAGATTATACAGTTTGTATTCAATCCAATAAAATCCAAATCCATCCAATAAAAAAACAAATAAAGCTCTTCATTTGACGACTTTTTATCAATAAAATTTGAAAAAATCATACATGTTTTTGGACGGATTTGCATTAGATTGTTTTTATATATCAATCTTTTGCTTATTCTTCTAAGAACAAGATTGTATTACTTCTACAAAAATGGATATATGAAATTAAATTATTAAAAAAGATTATACAGTTTGTATTCAATCCAATAAAATCCAAATCCATCCAATAAAAATACAAATGGCGCTCTTCATTACACGACTTTTTATCAATAAAATTTGAAAAAATCATTCATGTTTTTTGGGCTGATATGCATTAGATTGTTTTTATATATCAATCTTTTGCTTATTCTCCTAAGAACAAGATTGTATTACTTCTGCAAAAATGGATATATGAAATTAAATTATTAAAAAAGATTATACAGTTTGTATTCAATCCAATAAAATCCAAATCCATCCAATAAAAAAATAAATGAAGCTCTTCATTTGAAGACTTTTTATCAATAAAATTTGAATAAATCATACATGTTTTTGGACGGATTTGCATTAGATTGTTTTTATATATCAATCTTTTGCTTATTCTTCTAAGAACAAGATTGTATTACTTCTGCCGAAATGGATATATTAAATAAAATACTTAAAAAAAAGATTATACATTTGTTATTGAATGTATTCTCATTGAATGGATTATTAAATTAAAAAAAAGTGTTGTAAATACTTAATAGATAATATATTTCCAAGTCCATCCAATAAAAACACAAACAGCGCTCTTCATTTGAAGATTTATTTCCAATAACCACCAAAACACCCAGTAACTTCTTATTAATTATGTATTTTGTTTTTTACAATTTCAGACGCAACCCAAAGAATTTTGATGTTGAGTTGTATTTAATGTTAATCAGCTAGTATGTTTATGCTTCTCTGCTCGTTCCATAAAGTCAACAAACGCATTCAGACCGAAATTATAGCAATCGAGAGTCCAAATCCATTTAACCGTATTTGTATATATTGGGTATATAATGCGTAGTGTGTGATGCTTTTCTAACATTTATGTTTTTCTTCACGTATCGTATCCCTCATTATCATTCTAGCCAAAGTTCGCTTCATCTTAACACTTGGTAGGATCCATTACAAACTAAACTAATTTTTACAGGGGCCGAATTGTCATCGTGCGTGGGGTCAGAAATTCAAATATAGCACATCTTTCGGGGATGCGGTGATATGAGGCTAAAACTTAATATATAAAATAATTGCCCTTATAGAGGGAGTTTAGTGCTGGCCAGCAATACTGGCTTACAAATAATAGTAAGTGTGGGGATAAATCAAAACAAATAGCAAATCAATGGAAAACCTCTAGAATCACTTTGGAATAGAATTTATTGCAATTGAAGTTACTCGCTCGCCAATCGTTATCATAATCATAATAAGGATAATAATGGTAATCATAATAGTTTAATATATAGTTTATAGTATATAATCATAAGTTCATACGCAGCATTTTAAATATAAGTTAATGTCATCGACCTCATTTCGCGACCTCTTTAAACTATAGATATAACAATTATGTTCTCGTAATCATATTTATGCAGATGTCGCTAACTTTTCTGCTCACAAACATAATCAATAAATACGTAGATAGTAGATACATTTTCGAGTCATCTCGCTACTGGCTATCGCTATTCATAATCTGTGGCTTTTGCTCCCACAGAAGTACAAACTAGATCAATGTGGCCCCGTATGTGTGGGTTACATCATCGTACATATCGTGTAAACGTTTCGCTCTAGCGCTTTTTCATAGACTACAACTTATTTAGATTAAAAAAAAAACAAACAAACAATTACAAAAAAATTGACACATTTTTCTAAGTGTAGATAAATCCAGGTAATTGGCGGGGTAAGAATGACTTATTATGCAAAATAGTAAACTTATGACAACTTTTAAATGTTTATTTAAATGATTTACTTTACTTTCTGTTGACCTATATTAATGGTTTAGTTTAAGCCAAAGTTATAGAGGTTTTAAATTTAAATAACACTAAGACTCTGTTGGTAGAGAACTAAAACCATTATTCGATAAAGGACTGTTAAAAGGATAACATGAAAATGTATACAATTTAACACTCTTTACTTAAAATATAGAAGAATTTCTAGAAATCCATTAAAAATTCGTTTTACATCCTGCTTTACCTGGTTTTAGATATCTTTCAATTCGGAAAATTTCCCAGGTCCTTGGAACATTTTCCCGGGAAAGCTTTTACCCGCGCCAATATTGCCTGGACTCAGTATGTGTTTTTAGGATTTTGGTGGTGCCAGAATTGAGGGCTTTTCGACTAAGAGGCTAGGCCTCTATCTAATGTATACATTATACATGCGAATAAATAAATTAGTTGCGATTTTTAGTTAGACGAAGTTAATTTAACTTTTTTCTTCTTTTTTGGTTATCATTGGGCTTGGCACATTATATTACATATCATACAAAGCTTCGCACTTGTTTTTCTCCTTCAATTTTCAACCTTCGTGCCCTCAGAAAAAAAAACCAGTGTTGGGTAAGGCGAAAGTATTGGGGTTTAAAATAGTTGGGATTCGCTTTTCTTAGCTTTTGTGTAATAAAATGTAACCGCTTATCACATTCATAAAACTTGATCAATTCTCTAAATACATAGTCGTAGGCGTAGGTTAAATATAGTACATAATTTAGTACAGTTACCTTGTATGAGTTAACTAAATGTTTTCGTTTCGTTAATAGCACAGTGTAAACGCTTCTCCGTCTTCGATCTTTAGGGCACATATTCAAGTTTAAATTCAATTTAAAATTTAAATTTAAGGGAAATTAAATTGTTATATGGATTTTTCTCTGCTTTTGCTTCTTTCATATAATTTTCTAGATTTTTGGTTTTCTGTTTTAATTCTTTTTGTTTTCTTTGGTATTTTTGCAACAACTACAATACATGCAAACAGCAAATTTCGAGTGCAACATAAACGGTCTTGACAATTCAAACAGAATCTATCTTAAGTTCTTGTTTGTTTCACTTACTTTGGTATAATATTCACTAAGTCTATGCATGTTTACATGTTTTGTTTTGTGTGTATATATGTATATGTTTTTTGGCTACTTTCTCTGGTTGTAAAATTCGCAAAATCTTTATCTCGTTTTTGGTTAAAAATTACAAATTAGATCAAACTAATACAGAGCGGATCAAAATTCACATTTCATGTAAAGTTAAACCATTTTCGTTTTGGCATTCTCAGCCCAAAAATATTTATGTGTGGTGAGTGTATTGTATATATAACTGCCGGTAGGGGTGTTTCATTGTTTGAATTACACATTTAATACTTAGGTTTTAAAACATTTATTTTACAAACTATTTTGCATCGTTTTTCGTTCATGACTGTGAATGCTGTTTTAGGATATTTATAGTTATTTTTTTCGAGCAGTTGAGGGTTAATTTTTCGTTAGGTATTTGCAAAATAAATGCTTTTGAAAAAAAATTCCTACAACTTCTATATATATTATGAAATATATAGATCTGACTGATTTTTGGGTGTTAATTGTGGGCTCCTTGGATTGCTTTACTGGTTAATGTTTTCGGCTTACTGGTTAGGTTAGTTGGCTAAGCTATTAGGTGGAGAATCGGAAACTCATGTAAGTAGATCACTTGAAACGTACGATTATTTTGGGGTTAGGGCTGTATGTTTGGTGTTATGTGTATATGCTTGTGTACAGTGCGTTTCACCGCTAAAAGAAGCACAAGGTAATCCTTATAACCCTGAAACGCACTGTATGTGGTCTAAACTTATCGGTGTACCGTTGTTACTGTGTTGTTAGCACAAAATACCTTTCAATATTTTTGGTATTATTTTTTTTTCTTAAGTTTTTTCTTGTTTTTCAAAATAAATTACAATGGATTCGAGTGGGGGAACTCCCCGTAAAATACACACGTTAATGTGTGGCCTCTTCATTAATTTCTCATCCTCATCTTTTTTTCTTCATGTAGAATCTTAAATAAATATAAAGCACAAAGTGTTGACTTTCCAGTTTTGAATTCTAGATAATAAGCATATGTGCCTATGCTTCCTGCATAAGACACACATTCAAATATTTAAGTAAAGGTAATCCTTTCAAGATGTGGGCGATTGTGTGTGTGTGTTTTGGGTGAGTGTGTAAATACAGTATATAAAGAAGTATATATGTTAGCATCTTCATCTTGATCAGCATTCATTTTTGGTTTTCTATAGTTTTTTTTTTAGTTTCTTTTTGGTATCGCGGTGCTCTCCTTTTTTTCACCTTTGACCTTGGGATCTTAGGCATAAAACTCCGTTTTTCCTTGCGTCTTATAGGCCTCCTCCTCGATTTTGTACATGTCCATAAGCTTTTTTTTGAAGCGGCAGTTGGATTTTGGATGACAGGCGGCAGCGTGCGAGACAGCAAATACAAAACATTTCGCAAAAGTAAACAAATTGTGTGTTTTTTTCGTGGTTTAAATGGCACAGAAAGAGACAGAGCATGGGCATGTGTACGTGTGTTGGAAAGAGAGGGAGAGAGAAAGAAAAAGCGAGAAAATATATAGAATTTTATTTAGTTTATCTCGGTTATTTTGGCATTTTTGTTTTAGGGCGACACAGCAAACGATAAATGACAAGGCATTAGGGGCTTGGCAGGTTGGGTTTTAGACAGAGACAGTAGTAGAGAGTGAAAGAGACAGAGAGAGAGAGAGATATTTCTATAAAGTAGTTCGATAGTAGAGCTGCGAGCTTGGGATCTAGGGAGTTATAGGATTCGAGAACTTATCATACGCAACACATATACATATAAGTTGGAAATTGGAGAGCCAGAGACAGACTTTTAAGGATAAAAGTGACTTCGACACAGAGCACACAAAAATATAATTTAAAAAGCACAGGAAAGCATTTAAAAAAGTACATGAAAAGCCAACCAAAAAATCATAACAATGTGGAAGATCTTACAAGTGAAATGTATTTGGCCATAAAATAAATTTAGGGAATGACTCTAGTTATAAAAAAGAGCTTTATAGGACAATAAATATTTAAAAGATCCTAAGAACCTTATAATGACATTTATATCAATTACTATTTCCCTCTTTTTAAAACAGTTCTTTTCTTTACGAAACCTTAAAAAAACATTTCAAAAAGTTAAAATGAAATTTCATTTTTAATAAAAAACTCACAAGAGATGTAATAATAGCCACAACTCTCTTAGTGGGAAAATAAAATTGATTATATTATTTGTATTTTTCCGTTTGGTACTGTTTGTAATAGGAACTATTTTTATATTTTTTATTTTTTCATGTTTAAATAAATTCTTGACAATACCATTAATTATTTTACGACTGCTTTTCAATCGGACATTCCACATTGAAGTTCATTAACAATAAAGCAAAGGAAAAAGAAGGAGCTACCCGATCCTCTATAAGATCGCAAAAACAGTCAGTGAACCCATTGAAACTAGTCGAAAACAAGAAAAAAAGTAGAGCACACGATGAATAAACAAAATGAATATGTACCAATAAATATATAATACACATATAGAAAATAGTAGATAATTACATCTTAGCAGTTAGTGTGAAAGATTAGCAGCTACTGACTGATCGATTACTTTTCAGATTAGTACGGATGGGTTCGGTTAGGTTGGGTTTTTGTTCTTGATCGGTTATTGTTTATCGATTTTTGGAAGATGCATCCCCAAGCGATACTACTCTCCCTTTTTTTATCTCTCTCTATCTCTCTTTCTCTCACTCTCCCTTTAGCGACAAGAATGGGATACAGCAACAACGATCGTATCTGGGATGCATATCTTCCACTTCGGTTTCAGTTTTGGTATTATGTTTCTTTTTTGCTTTTGTTTCATTTCACGTTTCAGTTATCGGTTTTATCGTTTATCGTTTACGGTTTATCGCTCTCTAGCTATACAGGTGTGGTTGTCTAAAGTACAGTCTCAATACTGGTTATAGTGTCGGTCTGCGGCCGAGTTTCGTTCAGTACCTTTTGCACGTCGGTACTGAATTCCTCGACCTGCTTGGAGTGAGCCAGCTTCAGTTTCTCCATGGCGCGACCCTGCTTCACGCCGATTTGCTGTAAATGAGCGGATTTATATTTGGATCAGATTTTATTGATTATAAATAGAATACAAGCCGAACCTTTTTCTCCTCCATGAACCGCTTCACATTGTTCTGTCGCTTCTCGCGCAGTCGACGATCCTTCTCGTTCTTGGTTTTAAGCGTCTTGTCGTTCTGCACCTCCTTGGCGGTATCCGCCGACATCTTTGCCTGCTTAGCATTCAGATCCTTGATGTCCCTGTAAAAAAATTCATATTGAATTTATATTTATATTGCATTTAAAGATATTTTGCTCTCTCGTTAAAAAAAGTTGTTTCGAGAGAAAAGCTAAAAAATTTTGTTAACGTAAATATGCGGTGCTAATTAAAGTTTCCTTCGTAGGATTTTTTAAAGACAACTGGACAAATAAAAAACCAATTGATATCCACAGCAAAAGTCTACCAGCACTTGGCTTCTTGATTCGTATGATCTTTAGGCAGATAGTCGTCTCACCTGGCATGGCGATCCTCCAGCTGCTTGATCTGCGCCGCCTGAACGGTGAGCATCAGCGCCTTCATGGCGTCCTGCGAGTCCTGGACATGCTGGCGCAGCATGTCCCACTCCTCCTTGCGATGCCGGGCGATCATGTCGGTCCACTGTTTGGTCTGGTCATTGATCGAGTTCTTGATGTTGGCATCGTTGCGAATGTCGTCTTTGCTCTTGCCCTTGATCAGCTTGTCGATGGCCGCATTCTGGGTCTTCTGCACCGAGGTGCGCTCCTTGGCGTGCTTCTTGCGCAGCGTGTCCAGTTCCTTGATCTGCTTCTTGCCCACCTTTTGGAAGCCCTTCTCCTGCCGCAGCGATTCCAGGGTGACGGGCTCAAAGACCAGCGGCGGCTCCTTCTTCTCCTCCTCCTTGGCCTTGCCAGCATCTCGAGCGGCACCGCCGCTCTGCTCCTCAATGCCAAGCGCCTTCATCTGTTCGTTTTGCTGCTTGGCCGCTCCCGCGAATCCTCGCGGATCCGACAACATGGCCATGAAGTCCTCAAAGCCGTCAGGTACATAGATCTTTAGCTCGATATTCACAAACAACATGGGCAACGACATGGGGAAATTGGCCTCCGTGCGCAGGGACACATGGCGATAGCCAGCCTGCAGGCCGTCCAGCGGCAGGATTCGCTGTCCCAGGATCTTTCCGCTCTCCTCATAAACGCCAAAACGCAGCACAGCCAAGTCGGGCAAAACCACCTTGCGGAACACGAAGGCATCCTCGTTGTAAACCGGATTCAGACCGTTGTTGGCCACCAAACGGGTGCGAAACTCCTTTTTCACCGTATCCGAGGGCAGTCCGAACATGTCCACCTCCACGTAGGTGCCCACTTTCTTGTCGGACAAGAACTGGCCGGCTATCACCTTGACGGAACACTGGGCCGCAATCACACCGTCCACAGGCGCATCGGCAAACGGATCGAAGTCCTTGTCTGCTCGTCGCATAAAATCGGGTTTCAATAGATAACCGCATCCACCGTTGTACTCGAACTTGCCCTGGTTGAGTTGCATGGGCAGATCGGAGCTCTGGAAATTCAGGGAGACCATCTGACAGCCGGCGTTCCAGAACACCTGCGGCATATAGTTCGAGGAGTCCGCCCGCGTTCCCTTCGGATAAATTCGCGACATCTGGCGCTTGTTGTAATTGACAAAGTCGATGGAGCTCTGCTTCAGGTAGTTCATGCCCGCGGATTCCGCGAACGAGGACATGTTGTGGGCAATGTTCTTCTCTGTAGGGGGTTAAAAAAATAGAAAATAAATTAGTGTACATATATAAACCAGTCATCGGAAACTTATAAATAACCAACACGAAAATTGGTCAGAAAATGAAAATTTTGAATGCAGATTGTATGCCACTTTGAAATCGGATTATATTTGGTAAAGTTATGGAATCTAGAAGTCCAATTGTGGGTCAACTTTGGGCAACTCATCGGAAACTTAGAAATAACCAACATGAAAATGGGTCAAAACGCCGGTCAACGCTAAAATGGAAATTTTGAATGCAGATTTTCAGAGAATCCAACCACAAGTCTTTAGAGGTATGCCACTTTGAAATCGGATTATATTTGGTATAGCTATGAAATCTAGAAGTCCAATTGTGGGTCAACTTTGGGCAACTCATCGGAAACTTAGAAATAACCAACATGAAAATGGGTCAAAAAGTCGGTCAACGCTAAAATGAAAATTTTGAATGCAGATTTTTAGAGAATCCTACCACAAGTCTTTAGAGGTATGCCACTTCAAAATCGGATTATATTTGGTAAAGTTATGGAATCTAGAAGTCCAATTGTGGGTCAACTTTGGGCAACTCATCGGAAACTTAGAAATAACCAACATGAAAATGGGTCAAAAAGTCGGTCAACGCTAAAATAAAAATTTTGAATGCAGATTTTTAGAGAATCCAACTACAAGTCTTTAGAGGTATGCCACTTTGAAATCGGATTATATTTGGTAAAGTTATGGAATCTAGAAGTCCAATTGTGGGTCAACTTTGGGCAACTCATCGGAAACTTAGAAATAACCAACATGAAAATGGGTCAAAAAGTCGGTCAACGCTAAAATAAAAATTTTGAATGCAGATTTTTAGAGTATGCAACCACAAGTCTTTAGAGGTATGCCACTTTGAAATCGGATTATATTTGGTAAAGTTATGGAATCTAGAAGTCCAATTGTGGGTCACCTTTGGGCAACTCATCGGAAACATAGAAATAACCAACATGAAAATGGGTCAAAAAGTCGGTCAGCGCTAAAATGAAAATTTTGAATGCAGATTTTTAGAGTATGCAACCACAAGTCTTTAGAGGCATGTAGCTTTCATCGAATATGGTTTTTTAAGAAAAATTCCCGAAAAGAATTATACTAATTGTTGATTTAGTTTGAATTAATATGAATTTGAATTAATTGAATAGAAAGGAGTGAAAGCGTCCTAGAAGCTACGTAACCACAACTGTTACTTCTTCATCTGAATGTGGATTTAAATATACAAATTGAAATGCCGTACCGATTGCCTTGTCGAAGCCTTGGAACTTGATGGGCTGCGCGTAATTGACCATGGATGAGAGCCACGGGTGCACGTTGGTGGTGGAGCCACTGTAGTTGGCGGCGGCTGCCTCGGCCTCCGCTCCGCCGCCCCCCTCGGCGGCCCCCTCCGCTGCGGCGGCTGCTTCCGGGGCGGGAGCAGGGGCGGCGGCTGCCTCCGGCGGCTTGCCCGCACTGGCGTCCTCCTCCGGATCGTCGTCCGTCTTCAGCTCGCCCTTGAGCCACAGCTCCAGCTCGACCTTCTCCACTTCGGGCTTCATTCGCTTGTTCTTGATGAGGATCTTCTTCTTCAGCTTGCAGGGTGGCGGCAGCGGGAGTCCCGGATCCAGCTGAATGGATATGGTACATCGGGATTGAAGATGCAATGCAAATCGATGAAGCTATTCTCTTTACTCACCGGGTGATCCGAAAGCGGCTCCTTCAGCAGCAGATCGCCGAAGAAGTCATCACAGTATTTGGCCAACTTGTATTGCTGGGCGCGATTGCAGTGGTTCTCGAAGGACAGGATAACCGGGTACTCCGAGGATACGAATGCGCAGTCCGCAATCGCCTGGATGCAGTCCTGCATAAGTATGAAGTAAGGATTATTATTTAATTATTGAATTAGAATTCTGATTTCTTTTAAATTCTAAAGTGCAATTTATATTATTTCTTCAAAGTTACACAAATTAAATGAACTGTAACTGTCTGTAATGTTGTGGGAAATACTATTTTATTTTGTAAACTGGGACAAGTGAAAAGTTTGTTTAACTTTAACCAGTCTATTTAACTTACATACCGTAATATATTTTTCAAACATTTTAGTTATTCAAAACAAAATTATTTTCCCAACTAAAATAAAAACAAATTTGTATAGTTACTAAACAAAGCATCCATATTCCCGTACGGACTGTAAATTTCACATGCATGAAGTTGATTTGCTTTGACAATTAAGACCTTACATTACATGCAAAAAGTTTGACGTTTCAATTAAAAACTTATTTTACCAATTACGAACATTTATAATTAATAACTTTTGCAATTTGGCATGTTTGTTCTGCAAATAATTTAGAAACTAAAAAGTCAGCAAAATTATAAAACGTTTCACATAATAAATGTTGAATCTAACTACGAACTCTGGTATGTTATTAATTAGGATTATTTACATTATATGAAACTAGTTTGAATTTAGTTTTACGACTTTATGGTGGCAATGAAGAATTAGTAAATAACTGAATGTTGAAATTCATTTTGTATTTCAACGTGAACATTTCAAGGGACCAACCTTGAACAGGATTTCCGTGCAGTAGGCGTGACCGTGGGTGACGATCGGCTCCTCATCCTCCCCCTTTCCATTCCAACAGTCCAACTCCACACATCGACATCCTGCCAAAAGTGTTTGGCGGTACATCTCCACGGAACTCTTTCCGCCGATTTGACGACCCGATAGGTAGGTATTATGCGAGCTGTTTATATAGTAATGGGCCAGCGGCTGATCCATCTCCATGTAGAAATCCAGCCGGTCCAAAAACACTGGAGCATTCTCGTCGGACATCAAGTAGCGCTTAAATCCATCCAGCGAGAGTTGAACTAGTGTGGGGAAAAAGGAATATATTATTATGAATTTTAAGAAAAATACATCTGCATCGGTTTTAAGCATTTATAAACACGCACTTATCTTAATCTTTCTAAACTAGTTTTACCGTTTAAACCAATTAATATTTAACTAAGGTAAGCTTCTACTGGTTGTTTCAAATTAAAAAAAATACCATTAAATGAGGAATTTCAAAGCCTTAGATATAGTTAATAGTTATAGTTAATTTTTTGCATATATTGCTTATGTTTTAAACTATTTTATTTTCCCTTCTTACCATTCTTCTTTTTCTCCTCCTCTAGTTCGTAATCGTTGATGATCTCCGTGCAGCGTTTTTCCTCATAGAGAGGGAAAAGGATCTCGTTCATTCGAGGATCACGCTGTTTGTCGTTCATGAACTGAATAAACTGTTCCAGACTGATGAAGTCCTGTTTGCCTTTGGTGCTGAAAAATTGTATACCAGATATGCGTTAAACATAATATAACATATGACAACACAAGGACGAATCTTAAAACTTAACTTATAAAAGGAGATCAGCTTATTGCACTTACATGGAGGTAAATAGCTCCTCGATATCGTTGCGGGGACAGACCTTGTGGTACAAGGCGTAGAACTTATCGAAGGTGAACTGCTCCTTGGTCATCGTGGCGTTCTTGTCATCCGGTAATCCGGCATCCTTGATGCACGTGTACACCAGTTTCTCTGTTTTGCCGGAGGCGAAGGTCTTGGCCAAGGTTTTCACCGGAATTTTTCCGCTTTTCTCCACGCAGTAACTCAATCGCATCCAACTATTTTTGGGACGAAGAAATGTCAGAGGGTCAGTAATTGCACATTTTTCTCAGAACGAAACTTTGACGCTATGGGGTGTTTGGTTAATGCAATTAAATAGACAAAAGCCAGAGCAATTTTTCATGGAATTAATAGACACCAAACAAGATAATAACATAACAAAATAATTATACATACCTGGAAACAGTACGAAAAATTTAATCTGGATTACACTACAGTTAATGATTGACAGAGTCAACTGATGAAAAAGGGTTTAATACATCATAAAATAAATATTTTTATTTCATTAATTCATGAAAATACGAAGTATAATACAAGTTAATATTGTAATCTTAAAAAATGATTTATCGCATGCACCAAGAACCACTAAAATGTTTTTAAATTGGAGTAATTAAAATTGACCTTCATCCTTTCTCTAAATTTGATTAAAAGCCCATTTAAAACCGTAATTTAAATTCAAATTTATATTTCCCATAAGCAAAACAAAATTGCCATGAAATTGGCTTGCAACTATGCCAAAGGTCCTTTTGCAAATTGAACCCCATTTCACTTTCCTTTAACGACTGTTTAGTGAACACTAAGCTGACCGGTAATCGAATCAAATATTGATTAGCAATCAAGCCCAGGATCCATTACGCAGATGATTAACGACCTGTTCCGAAAACGGAACTCATAACTAATTGAATACAGGGCCTCTCGCACTTGTGTGCCCAATTTGCATGAATCCGTGGGATATATCGCATCCTTCGGTTTCGTTTTCGTTTTCGGTTCAAGTGAATTGCCGGTCCGCCGCCGAATGACGCATAAATAATGCAATCAGAAACAAATTGCAAACTAGGACAACTAATTTACAATACAAACATGCAACTGCTACCATGCCACGCCCACTCACGTTCCAACACCGATTTTACCGCCTCCCGTTTGGCCAAGGTGTTGCCTCCGTTGGTAGTTAACACGGTTGTTCGTTGAATGCACTTTGCAACTTTCTACCACCCATCCAAAACACTACGAAAAATTTGGACACTGAATGAAATATCGTTTAAAGGTTAAAACATAAATAAATGAAAGAATGATATTACCATCACTTAAGAACACTTGAGCCGTCCTATATTATTTACCAATAATTACAAAATCATACTTTATATATATAATTTCAAATAATATATACAAAGTTTTCATTAAATAATGTCTTCTGGGATTAAACCATATAATTGGTAAAAAAATACAATTGTAGTCTTATAGATCCCATACATTTTGGATCGTTCATTTTCAGTGTACCTTTGCAGGTGTGTGATCCCGGATGCATAGCACCCATTTCCCACAAACAACCCCCCTTCGACCGCTTCCCCTCTGAAAACACACTCGACTGGGCAGAGAGTTCACCGCAAGGCAACGCATATCCAATGAACCGGACTTCGGTTGCCGCCTTTCAACTGCCCCACGGACATCGACCATCGACCATTGGCCATTGAATGCATTCGTTTCACTTGTCTTTTAGGCGAGAGCTGGAATTTTCATTTAAGCACCCATTCCATTTAGCACACACTTCGGAAATGGATATGGAAACGGGTACAAGAAACTCAAACAAATTCGGCTTTTAAATTGTGGAAATTAATTAATGTGAGAAGAACTTAAATACCCATAGGAGTGGCGAATAAAAATGCATATTTCATTTTAATAGGATTAAATTAAATCCATTTAAATTGTCTCACTGCTTTTCAAGTCTTTCTTGATAATAAATAATGAGAGAAACCTAAAAATAAAATATGTTGCTTTAAAATAAGGAAAAATTAAAGCAAAAGTCACTTAAAGGGTAAGTTTAAGTAGTTTTAATTAAACTTTCATGTGAGCTAAGATTCTGTTTACCATTTTTGAAGAATAAAGATTGCTTTTATGTTTGATATTTATGTTATGACATTTCCTTATTTTTGAAAATGTGCTTCGCATAAAATAAGAGAAGCCCTTTGACCAAACACACACTACACCGCACCCACTCCTGGAATTTTCACGATGGCTTCGGTGGGAAAAAGAACAGCAGACCTTCTGCAGACCTTTCCCCTTTTTTCCTTGCCTATTTTGTGTGGGACAGGAAATGCAAATAAAATGAATTTATTTTGTGCTAAAAGTGAAACGAAGCCGTGGAACAGGAAAATCAACAACTATGGGGACTGTGCGGAATAGAAAGTCGAGTCCCTTGACCACGGATCAAATTGCAGCTAGATTCCGACGGTTCCGACGGAGTTGGAATTCTCGGAATTGCGTAATCAGCAATCAGGAAATTAATAACGACGGAACGCGAGTAATTGACCCGAAAAGACCAGCAGTCGATGAAATTTTGGGGAAACAAGTTTAACGGATGGAATTTCAGGTTTTGTGCTATAGTAGCAACGGGGATTCCAATTAGTCACTTTTAGCCCTTCTCGGAAGGAACAGCTTTAATTAAGTTACGACGAAAGTTTGAAAGTTTTAAAGTTATATTAGCTTAGTTTTTAAATATAAGTTATTAACTAATGCATTAAAATATTTACAAATATCACAACTTTACTTACCAATTGAGGGAATGGTTTAGTTCTCTTTACTTTAGACCTAGAAACAAGCATTTCTACGAATGACTGTGTGACACTTAGCTTTGATTATTTTCATCATTATATTGTATTTAATTAGCTCTAAGTAACTTGGAAACTCCAGTTTATATAAATAAAAATTTAAAAAGCCTCAATTCAAGTTACATTATATATTGTAATTAAGTTAGTATTGAGTATAACATGTAAAATTAATCAATTGAAGTTATTGTAAGTGTTATACAGACATGATTTATTTCTGTGTCATACAATCATCATACTAGCTCAATTAATGTATTCATTTATTTTAATTAATTAGCCTTTTTAACCTATTAAATGCTTCTTCTAGAGCTTTACTTCAATATATATCTCATTTTCTCGCTTAGTGTCATTCAGGCATAATCGACCTAAACTGGTGTTTTATTCTTTTGTTTAGTGTGACCTTACTTACTGCTTCATCAGGTTGACGCGCGGACACACATTCGTGGCGCGATTGTTATGCGTGATGAGACGCAAGTTCTTCTGCCAGCTCTGTGCGAGTGAGACAGTTGTGTGTATATATAAAGAGAGACCAGACAATCGTAAAGGATAACGACAACAACAACAACGACGACAATAACGAGAAGAAGAAGAAAAAGAACAGCATGCAGAACAGAGAGAACGGAACAATCGATGCAATTATGTACACAGTGTAATCGAGTGAGGTGCAGCAAGTGGAATTAATGTGGCAAGGCGAAAGGACATGGGACCCAGGACCAAGGGCCCAGGACAAAAGACAAAAAAGACAGGAAAGCGATGGGTAAGGGGTGAGGTAGGTGGTGAGGTAAGTAGTGAACAGGCCCACTTACTGTTTCCGCAGACACATCATGGGGCAGATATTGTTCGCTTTGACATTATGGGTTATTTTTCGTATGCCATCTAGCCAGATCTAAAAGAAGAGAGAGTCGATAGAAGGATTGTGTGTTTCGGTGAGTGATTTCAGTTCCAGTGTATTTCTGCATTTAGGTGGACCTCCAAAAGCTGTAAGCAATCTATCTTAAGTTCGGTTAAGCCCAGGACCTTGAAACAAAATGTTATCAATGGACACCCTGCGTATGTGTAATATTTCATTGAATTGAACTATTGAATTTAAACAAATTGTTGTCTTTATCGGGATAATAAAATAAGATAATAATTTTATACTAAGTCCTTTATAGTAAAATTGTAGAGATTCCAAAGAGATAACCTGCTTTTGACCAAAAAAAAACTTCGAAAAAAAATCCTGCAAATGGAACAACACTGCGTATACTTTTTCAACAAGTGCTTTAACTAAATAATTTTATTTTTTTCACTTTTAATTTCAAATACTTAAGAAATAATTAAATTTTTTCTAATAAATGGATGAAATAATCCCCTCGAGGTCCACTCTTGAGTTATTAATATTATATGTAAAACAAATGATATGCAGGACTCTGTCGAGAAAGGGATGTGTAAATTACGAATGAGAGCAGGAATTCCTGCTCCTGATTCAACGCTGTCACTGCCACTCCTGATCACTGTTACTCAATCACTGTGACTCACCTTAGCGGTTGCCGCATCTGGACAAATAACATGGTGATATGTTATATTGATATAGTCCGTATTCGAGCAGATCGTCAGGGATCGCTTATCCAGTTCCTGTATATTGGTTCCATTCTTCTTTGTCACCTTATCGAGTATCTTTGGATCCTGAAGGCAAAAATAAACAAGTACAAATAATATTTATTAGCCGAGTTCCTTACAAACTTCAAACTACCCCCGCATATATTGCGCATACGCCCCGTTGTCAGCCATTTGACTGCAATTTGGCGCATTCAGTAGTATCTGAATCAGCAACGCAGAACATTAATCTCCAGTCGCATCATTAATCAAGGCTTGCGCAGAACATTTATCAACATTTGTGCAGCATTCGCGGAGCCAAACAAATATATTTTCATTCTATTTTCCGTTTTGGCCGTCAGCAACAATTAAATGCTTTGTACTTTTCCACCAACCTTACCCTCCTTCAATTTCAGCCAGAATTTCAATTTAATTGCTGCCGAGTCCAATAAAATGCAATTACACAACTTTCTGAGCGCGAAAAAGTATGCTACGGTTATTTCCATTCGCCAAAACGAGTCGCAAATTTAATACAAAATGTTTAAATAAACTTGGCAAATTGAATCATAATCCAGAAGTAATAGTAACCAGTGAAACTTTAGGTACTTATCACTCTCACAGTATTTAGTTGGCAAAAATTGTATTTTAAGCTTTCAATTAAATCTCATATTCTAAATTGTAAAACGTGTTTTTTGAATGGTTGCAAAAATTTTAAAATTCTCTTGCCATATGCAATCTCCACTTTATATCCTGACCTTCTTATTTTCCATCAGTGTCATAACCGAATAAGCCCTTAAATGTGCAGTTTTATAAAAGAATCCTGCTGCTTACCGCCATAAATGCTGTTTCAAAGTCATCCACTTAAACAGTGAATTTCTTAAAGGAAATTGAATTATGCAGAGACCCCATTGAGGATTTTTCCTCACCTCCAAAACACACACACACACAATAGCTCAATCAGTTCAAGTGCAATTTGTGAGGAAAGTCGGGAAAGAAAGAAAGCAGCAGACTTTCGAGTGCTAAATAAGTCAGCCTTCCCCGATTTTATCCCCCTGTCGCTGCTTTGAACCAAATAAAGTGAAAGCAAATGTTATAAAAGTTTTGTTCCCTTATTCTTTCTTTCATTCTATATATTTTTCTTCGTTTTTTTTTTTTTGCGCCACTCGCTTTGTTACGTTTGCAGAGCTTCGTGCATTATTGAAAAGCGCCAGCAAACTAAAAGCCAGGAAAAGTCGGGGGCAATAACGAGAAAAAAACTGCAACCAAGCTCAAATTTTTCGTTTTCAATATTTCTTTTCGCTTGTATTCCCCTCTTCCCGCATTTTTTTTCCTCCTCAGACTTTTTTCTGCGGTTTTTCTCTGCCAAACGAAGCAACTTTTAATGGTTCATTGTGCAAGGCTTTTCGAAACATTCTGTCTCTTTCAGACCCAACATTGCCATCTCTCTTTTACACCTCCTTAGAGTCACACACTTTCTTTTCCCAAATTCCCCTCTCTTCCATTTATTTGGCTGTGTGTGTCGCTCATTGATGACCAAACATTTCAAGTGATGGCAGAGCACTAAACGCACACAAACACACTCGCACACGGAGAAAAAAAATAGTTTAAAAATTAATTTATTAAGTTTAAGTTTATTTATTTAGGTTTATTTAAAATATATATTTAATTGCACCATAAAACAGGAATACATTTGATTTGATACCTCCATTGCGTGTCAATAATTTTGGAGTTTCTCAGTGTACAACAAACACTAACACCATCTCACTTTTTTCAGCTGAAAACTTTTTGCATTTTGTGTCTGTTGCTTTCACCCAGCTGGCGTTTTCTTTTTGGCCATCTCATTTGTGGTCAACCATTTTGGCACACACTCACTAGGACACACATTATGCGAATTTCGTGCAACTTCTGCTCTTTGGTGTTTATTTTGCATTTTAATTGAATTTGCCCGAGGACAAGAGAAGAGCAGAATCAAAGAAACACAAAAGATGTTATGAAGGGTTGAACCAGAAGATGGGTTTAAACTGAAAACTGGCCAAGGGGTTCCCAGTTCAAGTTCTAAGCAAATAAATGCCAGGCACTGTCAAAAAAAACAAAACAAATTTTGCATAAAGGAACAAAAGTCCGAAGTTTACGAATTGGTTGAGATATCCGTGGCGTATCACGTAAGCATACAAAAAAAAAAGTGCTGTATAAAATAGACGAATTTATTCTATTATATTTATATAATTTTAATGGCAGTCCCTTCTTCACGAAATTTCTGCTACTACTTTTCATAATTCCCTGCCAATGATGGACTTATTTCTTTTTTCCCCCTTTGGGTCAATTTCAGTTTCAATTTGTTTAGATATTTCTCAGCTGCATTCAATTTGGGGCTTTGCTAGCGGACTTAAGCCGCTTCCAGGGCAACCTGTTCACGATTGAATGGAGCATTACTGTGTTGGTACTTAGCAGTCACTTTCCCCAATGTCCACATCCACATCCATATCCACGTCCCATTGCCCACTTTTCATTTTCCCTTTCTCTTTCACATTTTCCCTTAGATGCACCTGTAACCCACATGCTGAATAGTCAAAGGGTTTGCCCGGGGCTAAAAGGCAAATGAAGATGAGGAGGATTCAGTATTGAGAAATAAAGTAGGGTATTTCCGGTGATGCTCTTAGTAGCTTACAAAAAGTAGCTAAATTAAGCAGTTACAAAAATGTTTAATTTAAAAGAGTATTTTTTGGTGGTAGTAATTACCCAAGTAGGAATAAAAAGTTCTTTTAATTTTAAGATTTTAAGTAGTCCAAAATATTATCAACTTTATTTACGGTTTAAGGCCCCCCAAAACAAGCCAAGTAATCAGCACTGCTCGAGCCTTCTGGCAATGCATAGTGTGATGGAATGGGAGTGGATACGGCCCATCCTTTGGGTATGGGCATGGGCAATGGTATTGCTAGTTGGATGCACTCATCCGAGCCTCCGTTTCAGTTTCACTTTCGGTCTCCTTCCCTTCGGAAAAGTGTGTCAATGAAGGGCCAGGGGCAAGTTGGCGAGTGAGACTGGACAGCAAATCTAAATTAGTTCGACTCTCCGGGCAGCACCTGCATCGGCCATAAAAATACATATATATGGATATATATATAGAGAGAGGACTCCGACAACATATAGAATGGATTGGCCCAAATGGAGGTTCATTTCGGGCTGTTGCTGTTCGGTCATAAATTTCATTTAGGAGACGTCGACAGACAAACACAAATACATCACTCTATCAGTCCACCTCCCACCTCATATGCCACCTATATGTACATATCTATATCTATATATATGTGCCATATGTCGGTCTGGAGTAAATAAAGGGGGCGTGGCCGGTCGGTGACAATAAATCTAGCGCATGGAACAAATGCGTTTCGAGTCGAAGACGGCGACTTTGATCCACAAATGGCGCTGGCTAAAAACAATTGAGAGCAAAAGTGACATATTGACACATTAACCGACGCACACAGCCGCACACCCACACACACGGATACACACACACACACCCACAGGCGACAGTTTTATGGCTTTGTGATAGTTCATCCTGCCAGCAAAAAAAAAAAATATAACAAAATAAAGGAAAGAGCAACTGCACTTAGTCAAAACTTGGCATGAAAAGCGGGGAAAATACGTGGCTCGGGGAAATTGTGGAGGAGTAGGCAATGAAAAGTGCTAGACAGGTGTCACAGAAGAAAGCATATACTGATTGATTTAGATTAGGATTTGAGGGCTTACAGTTTTGTAACACTGAAATTCTGCAAAATATATCGAAAGAGTTATTCACATAGTATTTAAAGATTAGCATTGTATATTTTCTTTGGTATCTTGACTTAGAAAAAAGGTTTCCTTTTCACTAGTCGAATACGTGATTTTATCGCTGCTAAAACTATTTGATTTTAATACGATATTCTTGTAACTGTGCAGATTTTATTGTAATGATTAATTGAATCAAATTCCCTCACAATTGCGTGGAATATGGTTTTTAAAGCCATTAAATGATTTTTATTATTTACAACTAATTAAACCGCGCCATAAAATGGACTAATATATTCTTGTTTAGCCAACAATTCACAGACAAATATCGATTTATTGTGATTTGAATGTAAATTTATCTCCGAAAAAAAGGTTCAATTATTTGCAGGTAATTGGATTTTGGACGAGCTATTTTAAATTACTTTTTTTGACTATACAAAGCGTTTAAAATATATTTTATGGTAGGCAATAAACTAACAATTTTAGGGGTTTAAAATGCTTTTGCTAACAAAACATTTTAGGCAACGAAAATAAATTGATTTACATGGACTTGGAGTATAAATGCCAGCACCAACGAAAATGTAGATTTTCTGATTATTAGGGAAGAAGTATAAGTACCCCCACAAAATAAATTGAAATGGCAATGAGTACTTACCCTTGGGGTTCCTCCCGCACGAATGTCGCTCACTTGACACAGCTCAATGACATCGCCATCCTGCCGAGGAAAATATATATCTTATCAGTTCAGAATTTACAAACGGTTAATCCTGTATTAATGTTTTCTAGACTTTTAGGAAGCGAACACATAAATACAAATTAAAGTTTTTAATATTTGGGAAATATCGCCATCAATAAATAATCTTCATATTATAGTCATTATTATATCATATTAATTATATTTTCTTTATAATGTTAGGTTATAAGTACGCATTCTTTAATATTTTGTAGTGCGAAGGGTACATTAAATATGTTCGCTTAATTTATTTAAAGGTGCTATTTATTAGACCAACACTAAAATATTTTTAATGATTAAGAAGGATGCCTGATTGTTGTAATGCAATCAAAGGGGAGGCAACAGAGTGACTTAGTTTGCTATAATTTAAGCGGAATAAAAAAGGACTTTAACTTACCCGGCCCTCACTCTTCCAGTACAAAAAGAATCCATACTCGTCGACCTTGAAGAGGGCGTCGCGCTCGAAGTCGTTCTCCTTTGTTTCCTTCTCGTTCTCGAACCAGCGATCGAACACACAGCCCGTGGTCAATTCCGGCGGAACCGGGATGATCCAATCGAACTCGTACTTCTTTGTCATTATTGCTCTGGGGACGTTACCTTAGCCACTTCCGTTTCCGCTTCCGATTCCGTTGCTGTTTCCGTTTCCGTTACCGCTAACGCTGCCGTTTCCGTTGCCGTGCACATGCGATATATATATATATATGTATATATATATCTTAATCCAGATCTAGATCTGTCCCACGACTCGCTCGCTCTTTCTCTCGTTAATTTCCGGACATATTAATCACTGGCTCTTTCGATCGATTGTGTCCCAACGGATGAGTGTGTTTTTATACAATTGCATTTATTGTAGATCACATGGTCCGTTTACATTTCCGTTCCCGGTTAATTGAACTTGGCTCGGCTGCACTTGCTGCACTTCTGCCACAAATTCCAGGCCGTATGTTCCCTTTTATCCAAAAACCTCGACTCGACGACTCAGCTGCAAACAGAAAACAGAGATACAACCATTAGACATGACAGGTTTGGGTTTGCGTTCGGGTTCGGGCTCTCCTGCAATAATAATTGTGCGGCTTGCCACAAACAAAATGAAGACACGGACACTGCACTGAGCCAAAATCAAGTCGATTGCAATCAGAAGACAAAAAGAAAAAAAATAATTGTGGTGCTACAGAAACCACTAGGGTATTAAAATCTAAACATTTGCTAAATATTTCTGAGTTTATAGTTTTCCCCAAATGGTAAAAACTGCAATATGATTTTTAGGTTTTGACAACAATTTATGTCAATCAATAATAGAGTACTCATTAAGAAAATGTTTTGAAAATATGACATTCCATATATAGATATTATAACAATAAATATTGCTGTTTTAATCGTTTGAGTTATTTTTTAATAATAATATTTTAATATTTTTTAATTAATAATCGAAATATGGTCTTTTATTTTTTATTTTATTTTGTCAAATTAAAACTAGTATATAATACTAAAATTAATATACAAGAAAATGGCACTGGAAACTGAAGTCCTTCGGCCTATATGCTCTCCAAACGCTTTCTGATAACATTTTCAAACGACTTTTCCCGCAGTGCTTGAAAAGGAAATCAGGAATGTGGCTTGATTGGTCATGTTACAATAGGAAATTCTGCAAAATGCATTTATTTTGCCCCCCAATGTCCATCAAGGCTTAGCTTTTAGTATTCGTGTGTGCATCCTATAATTTCCAATTTAGATTTGTGGTCAAAACGTCTTCAAAAGTTTGTTTTTTCATTAATTATACAAGGAATGCCCTTTTGGACATCCGAAACTTAAGACAGCAATTTACCTGCCTCTTAAAATGAAATGATTTTCCAAAACAACGGATGTAATTTGATTTTATATTTGCCTTTAATATAAATCACTAATGATTATGAAATACTGTTAATTGTCAAAATGAGTAAGTGAATAATTTATTTAAATTTGAATTTATTTAACAGCTTTTTAGCTTGCAAACCAATTAGGAAAAAAAGGGAATGGAATATACGTTGAGTGAAAATTGTTCTTAAAGCCGTAATTAAAAATTTTAAATTGCAAACAGAATGTGCTTGATCAACACAAATCTATTGTGAATCGGCTTCCAATTTGCGAACAATTTTGGCATAAAGTTTAACGAGTTTTTCTCTTCCGAATTGAATTAGCATTCGAATTGAAATAATTTCGCACACGCCAATCCGTTTGCCAATTTGCAATCTCAACGCACTTTATGAGCTTGACACAATTTAAAAAAGAAAAAAAAAACAAAAAACAAAACAAAATCCACTTTAAAGTTGAGCCTTTGACATGGCGAAACTTTACCCCAGATGGAGATTTATGCAAATTATTGAACAGGGACTCCTCGCAGGCGCTGTCACAGGAGCACTGGTGATTTTTAGGGAACAGTCACAGTCACGGAACCGGCTGATAGCTGACAGTCAACTGAACTAACACCGAATCGCGGCAGCCGGAAGCCAAGAAACATTTGAATACCAAAACTAATGGAATTAGCGAGTGACGACATTGCCAGGGCCATGGCCACAGGTTCTTTTCGCTGCTATTCGATTTGGGCGCACTTTGGGGACTTCTCTGCCAGCCACCACCCAACACCCACTGAAAAGCAACCAATCACCCAACCACCCACTTAAAAGCACCCAACCACCATGGCCATGGCCTCGTGCACCTGACTTTGTTCCGATTCGGGGAAAAATCCCAAGTGCCTGACATTCTCGCAGCTTGCTGCTGTCGTTTTTATATTGTTTGCTACACGGAAAGAACACGTTCTATTCCCCATTGTCTATAATAACTATAAATAACTATGAAATAAGTTTTCAAAATCACCAACATCACGTTTTATTGTATAATTATGATTTTTATAAGCTTTGTTTGGCTTTAAGTCTGTTAACTGAAACAATTTTTGTGTCACTTATTAATAGGTAAAGTAAATTTGCATTCAGTGTATGGTTAAACCAAAAGAAAATATAGGATGGAATTTTGTTTTTACAACAATTTCAAAATAAATATATAATATTGTTAATGTGTTCCACAAATTTTCTTTTTTTTCTGACAATGTTATTACGTTACATTTTAGTTAACAGTAAGTGCCAAACATTTAAATTAATTTATTAGTGTATTTCACTAAACATCTCTAATAAGGCAAGGCGATAGAAAAAAAGTGCTGCTCAAGAGTGAAGCCTGCACGTGCACGATACCCGAACTGGTCTTGATCAACTGGACTTCGCTGTCTACGAGCACCTGAATTCGGTGTCTTTTGCTCCATTTAAAATCAACTAAGATGTCCTTTGCATCTTCTGCTTCACGTGTCATTGAAGCAAAAGCGACAAAGAAAATCTCCTGTTGAATGCAAATCATCTGAGAAAACATTCGCATTAATGCAGGTGAAAGTGCTTGGAAAAATCAAAGTCCAATTGATCAAGATCAGTTCGGGTATAATGCGCGTACAGCCTGTCATTCCTGAGCAGCATTTTTTTTTTAGGCTCGCCGTTTAAGGATGTTAAGCATACTAATCAACTTTTCTTAATTGGTGTTTGAATTCACCATTCATAAAATTATAAAATTTTGACAACCAGAAAAATAAATTCACCAGAGTTAGAAGAGCTACGGCTTTTTTATAATTTTATTTTAACAGCACTGGTATAGTTCGATTACAGGTATCCAAACTTCAAAAAAATAACTCAAATCATTTTTAACACAATGGTGGTGTGTAAATGAGGAAGTCCTGACACTATTATACAAATTTTAAAGCGGACAAAGTCGCGCCGAGTTGTGCTGTATATACATTCATATATAGCTGACTGATTACCCGGGACCCGTGATTTCTTCCGTTTTCCTTTTTATCGATGGCGCTGTCGTGTTACACATGACTTCAAATTCAATGAGCTGCAAAATTTCGCTCATTGTTAAACTTGGAGAGCTCGTTAGCCAGACTCACACAAAACACAAACAGCAGAGCAGCCAGGACTCTTAAAAAGCGTGAAAAAAGGACATACTTTTACGCCCGCTCCACGAATGTTTAATGAATTTACGCTCTTTGCGCTTTTGAACTTTCGGGCTGGCGAATTAGCGAACAAAGGAAGTGCCAAGGACGAAGGATCAAAATGGGGGAAGGTGCTCGAGGACAAACAAGGATGCGACATTCAATGCACTCCAGTTAAAATATAATGCGACTAATGGGCGCCGGGATATAGGGCAACTCTTAAAGATCTTTAATATATATTTTGGGCAGAAAAAACAGAAAAAGCCAGAAATAAAGAGTAAATTAAAAAGGACATTAAGAAAAATAGCAAAGGAATTAAGCCACAAGGGTTATTGGGTAGGTCACTTTAAAACCGGATTAAATTTGGTTAAGATATATACATATAAGACCCTAGATGTCTTTCAATTTTTCATTTCATTTTTAATAAATGTCAATTGCAAATAACTTGAATCAATATAAAATCTATTTGATCTCGTTATTCAGTTTTTAATAAAATGGCTCCAATAAATCGCAAATTTAATCATGCCCATTAAAGAGCCATACTACAGCAGCTCCACTTCACTTCCTCAAACCACTTGAACACAACACTTTTCGCGAAATCGAAGCACTTGAATTCATCTTTCACTGGAGACCATTAAATGCAGATATACCAAAGGAAAAACTTGAGCACGGAAAGGAGAAAAAAGAAGGGAAAACACGATGGGGGAATGAAAGAACAACACGAAGGGAAATCAAATCGTCCTTCCTTCTATAGAGGAGCCCCCACCCTAGTTTCCCTTCGAAAGTTGTGAAGGAGTGTATGACAACGGTCCTTCTGTTTTTTTTTTTTGTGGCTCCAAGTGCCACGCCTCAACACCTGCGCCCCGAATCGAGCGGAAATTCGGCTAGCAGTTCGAAGGTTCCTGGGTGAAAACAGGTTGCCGACTTTTCCGGGTTACAGAGTAAAAATAACTTGCATAAACTTTCCCTCAAAGGACACACACGTACGCCGAGAAGTGTGCTACAAATATGCTCATTACGTGCGCGCCAAGTGGCAGCCTCAGCCCCAAAGGACAAACGACCGCGCCCACCGCCCACTGCCCAACGCCCTTCGCCCCCTTTTCCCGCCCCCTCGTCCTTTTCAGCGACAATTGCTCAATTTATTATTGCATACTTTGCGGCCATAAAACTTGGCTGGCATCCTTGCCATCCTTTCGCGGCTTCTGTTGCATGTACTTATAGATATCTATGGGGAGTGTATATGCAAAGATACATATACAGTATATATGTATATGCGATGCAGGGTTACAGGTATATGTCTTCAATTTAGAGCCTTTTCTGCATTTGATGGCTCTTGGTCAAGTGTCAAGTGCTTAAACTAGAAATTTAGGAACTTTGTTCTCGGGCAGTTGGGGTTAAATTATTTCCCTTATAAAGTTGTCGAATTGTTGAAGAATTCAAATTTCAAAAATTCATAGACCATTTTATTTTGACATTTAGTAGCCTGTTTTGTAGATTTTGGTATGACATACCTTTTTTGTCAGCAATTATTTGGCAATGCGATTTAAGTTTAGCTTTTATAGCTTTAGTTATTTTTATTTTCCATAACCTAACTAATAATAAGCCTATTGTTCTTTAAATTAAATTATAAATTCAAATCTAGATATTTTATACATTTAAATGACAAATGATAAATGATAAAACAACAAACACACAAATGTATTCATTGTTTTGCGAATATTAAATTTATTCTTTCTGCAATTCGGATTGTTGACGCTTAAAATTAAAACATAAAAATAATATATAGCAATTTTATTTTTTTCAAAGTTATAGGTATTTTCTAAATGTGTTTTGTTTTGTGTTTTCCTTATCTTTTTATAATATCTGCAATGATTTTAATGTTTCCTTTGTTGCTCTATTTTATTTCTCCAAAACTGTTGTAGTTTTTATGAATATGTATATCTTTTTTAATGCCTTATAAAGTTGTATATATA